TGAGAACATCCATGAATAAATAAGAAAGATATGGACTTAAGGCTGATCCTTGATGTAATCCAATCGAAATAGGAAAATACATGATCAAGCCACTTTGTGTTTGAACACAAGTATTAGCTCCTGCATACATATCTTTAATGATTTGAATATAAGTATTATTATATTAACTCCTTTCTTTTCAAGAACTCTCCATAGCACTTCTCTTAGAACTTTATTATATGTTTTCTCTAAATCAATAAATATCATATGTAGATCCTCCTTATTCTCTCTATATTTCTCCATCAAACCTCTCAATAAATGTATGACTTTCATAGTAAACCTACCTGTCATGAATCCAAATTGATTTTGAGAAACATTAGTATCACGTCACAACCTATGTTCCATAACTCGCTCCCATAGTTTTAAAGTATGACACATTAACTTAATTCCTCTATAATTTGCACACTCATGTGCATCACCTTTATTCTTAATAATAGGAATTAATACACTCATTCTCCACTGTCTGGAATATTCTTCATGATTGAAAAACACTCAAGTAGAATGCGTCAACATATTTCGCTTATTACTAAATACGCCGAACATTTCAGCCTATTCGTCACACCGCCCAACCAGATCCACAATTTCCCCGCACAATTTCATGCTTTTCTGCCTTTTTTTGCTTTCGTGTGACAGGGAGAGGCCAGGTGCGAGAAATCATTTCAGGAGGCCAGGCAGAGATGTTAGTTTTGTATAAGTTAGTGCATTTCGTAACCCTTATCACAGCTGAAGCAAGGGCTTTTAAATTTGTGAGGTTAGTATTTCATAGTTAGTACATATCAGTTTAAATTATTTGGTGAATTATTTATATTAAGTGAATTTTTGTTTGTTTTGAATTTTGTAATGAAAAATTACATTTAATTTTTAATTTGTTCTTGCAAGGTTTCTTTTTATTAAGCTTTTACATTTAGTGATATGTTATATATTTCTGAAATGTTGACGTAATTTGGCATATATCGTTGTTTGTTCAATGAGAAAATAGTAGTATTTAGTTGGATAGAGATTCCTTTTGTAAGGGTATTTTTATTAAATTTTATATTATGAATTTTTTTTTTTTAATTTTTTGGATATGAGTATAATATTTTAAATAGTAGGATAATTATATTTATAAGGTATTGTTCTCTGACTGTTTAGGAGATTTCTTTGATCAGAAGGTTTTCTTTTTAACGTGCTTCTCTAAAAAAAAAAGATATTTGTAATAATGACAAGTTCTCTAATTAAAACATCAACTAATGTTTGGATAAGGAATGTTTATTTATTTAATTTAATTAAAATTTTTTTACTTTCTGCAAACTAAACTGTGTTTGACAATAGCAGATTAATTTCACCATACGCTATTAAAGTTTTAATAATGAATAGTTTGCTGTTTTAATTTTTTTTAATAAACGGATTAATATTTTATATTTGTTGTTAGAAGTACTTCTGTTGGGGATAAAACTAATTAATGATAAAATAAAGAATTAATTTTTAAATCATATATCAAACCATTTCTTTAATGAAACCATTGATATATCAAACCATTTCTTTAAGATTAATATATCAAACCATTAAGGAATGTAGTTATAGATCATTTCTTTAATGCAAACTTGTATCATTTTAAAGAACAATAAACATAAAAATTGAACACTGTTAATCCTTTAAAAAATATTTGCATATTTTAATATTGTAATAATCAATTATATACATATACATAGAAGAGAATAGTATTCATTTATCAATTAATTTCTTGTTTTATTAACAATCATGCGTTATGATTATCTTACAAAGTACATTTATATTAAAAAATTCTACAACATAAAGAACATATAATTTGATGGAGTAAAATTTAGATTGATTAAATTTTGAGTAAATTTTTTATCAAGTGGTGAGATATATTCAATGCGTTGCATGAAGGAGCATTGTATAATTTGAACTTTCAGGGAGAGCATGCAGTACGAGAATAAACGCATGTGTAGAATTCAGGGCAGGCTAATCATCTTAATTAGCTTTAAGTAGAAAGGTGTTTTTAGTATTTTTAATTGAGTATTTATTCATCTTTAATAGTAAAGGATATTTTTAGTATTTATAATTCTTTCATACCATTAAACACTACTCCCATACTTTCTAACTCATTTATTCCAAAATTAACTCCATCCAAAGTACTTATTTGATCCCATCAAAAAAATATAATTTCCCTCTATAGTGAAAAGAACAAATGTTTTTGCAACTTGAAAAGATTTCTGAGAATACACTTTATTAGCATGTAATGTTATTTTACACCTTGTTAGCATGTAATGTTATTTTCTTAGGTCACTTAAACCTAATCTTCAAAATAATTAATTAGCTAATATAATATGCATAACTGAATGAATAAATTTGTTCAATATTGGAATTAATAATTAGCGAGTTATTATGGTGAATTTCTACCCTTTAACATAACTAGAGGATTTACGTATGCTCTCCTTTGATGGTAGTATGTCCCGATTGATGCTATATTTTGGGGGAGAGTTGAGTAATACAGACGAGCTCACACCAAAATATATTGGTGGCAAAAATCGTCCGCTCCTTGTAGATGATAACATTTCGCTTGAAATATTGAAACTATAAATTATGTGTGCATTAAGGTTAAATTCAACAGCAAACACTGTTAACATCACATGTTTATGTGATAATGATAAGTTATATTCGACATATGTCGCCGATGATGAGGTTTGCGAGTTCATGTTGATGGATGCTAAAACCCATGCTGTCGTTGTGTACGTGGAGGTTGACGAGATACCACAAACAGATGTTGCGGGCCCATCTACTCAAGTGTATACGTGAGTTTGTACTATCACATTTGATGGTGCTTTATGTGGTACTTGTTCGCATCCTTGTTAACATATCCATGCCTAAATAAAACATTGGTTATCGTAGGCCCACTTTGATGTTCGTTGCCTCGCGGGTGAGTGCAAGAGAGTGTATGAGAACTGTTGAAGCTGATTTTCAAGGCCGCCTTACTTTATATGAGCAACCAACTTTCCTGCAACAATAGTCCCCATCACGACCTAGTGTGAGTGAACGTCCACTTGGGAGACACCCATTATAATCAATTTGAAGATATCCAGTCCTCCGGGCCATACATGTAGCACACTTCGCAAAATAAAAATAACATGGTGGAAGGTTGCCAGGTTGCTGAAAATGAAGTAAATGCATAGGAAACCATGGATAACGGTAGTAATGATTCATCACACGGCGATAGCTCTGGAGTAGACACCCATGTTTCCGAGGGAGAATATAACAATACGGTGATTAACGGTCAAACATTCATTGAAGATCATGCAAGAAAAAATTGTGATGGCTTAGAGGCGATGATCGTCAATAATGATTTCACCGAAACGGTTCATACAACTTAACAGTGGGATGATGATGAATATTTCGATGCTTCGGCCGTGGACGTATTTAGCTAAACATAAGCTATTATTCCAATAGAATTTTATGAAGGTCAAATTTTTCATTCAAAGGAAGACCTGAAAACTGCAATTAACGAATGGTCGATTATTCAGAATGTTCAATATTTAAAATCGACCTTCAACATGAGTCAGCTTACTATCACATGTGCCCAACATGACAATCTACAATGCCCATGCCTTTGGCGCTTACATGTTGCATGAAGTAAAAGACTAGGTTGGCTATGGAAAATATCTACATGACAATCCACATCGCCCATGCATTTGGTTGCTGCAACACATTTACGTATGATTCGTGAACGACCAATTTAGTGGCTCTGACTGATATATGTTTTGAGGAACCTTGGCCTAAATACCCTTCGATATTTACAGTTCATTCGCCTGGATCATAATCTTATTATAACATTGGTTGAGAGATGGTGCTCCTTGACGAACACCTTCCACTTTACAATCGGTGAGATAACGATAACACTACAGGACATGCAAGTACTGCTTGGTCTCTGAATTGATGGACCCATAGTTGTAGGGTTGAATGTAGTTGGTGCAGGACGTTGGTGAGTTAGCTGGCCAGATTGTTGCGATGAGCTTCTTATTACACATCATAGCAGGATACAATGTACCATCCACCAGGTGATGAGGATGACATCACCACCTTTAGGATGGGTACGACCAGGTCGAGTTGATGCTCCCACTTCATTGTCTTCATTGAACTTTCTATAAGGACTCATACGACGACTTAGTAAGAGCCGGGCCATTTCTTCAGCATGTTCGGGCCTGCATTTATAATTGTGTGTTTTCTGATGCCAGATACGCGTCACAGTCTCATGTCTCATTAGGATGCAGTGAAATACATATCCCCTAAGCAGCTTATGAAGATGTGCTTGGAGTTGGGTTTGAGTGGGGCTACTCTTAAAATTACACTTAAATTCATACTAAAGATGTTAGCCCTAAGCATTAAAAAACTTTTTTGGCTTGCCTTCATGCAATGGCTCATTCATCCAAGTATTATAATGTATTATGGATACGTGTGTCAATTTATTTCATCAGCTTTCATGTAACAATGTAATATGGGTATGTATGTAATTTGTTTCATCTCTATAGCTAGATTTGTGATACAATAACACACTGAGAAAAAGATAAAAGAAAAAAAACATATTTATTAATATATAACGTAATTTTGTAATTTTAAAAGTACAATCAAAAGTTAAAATGAAACTCCATTACAATAAAGCATTCAAAAGAAAATGAAAAATACATATCCCAATATTCATAGTACTAGATGATTTTATTATTTGCTAAGCAGCATATGCAGACGTGATTGGAGTTGAGTTTGAGTCGGCCAGCACTTGAGATGAAACTCAAACTCATACTAAAGGTTTTGCCAGTCCTTAGCATTAAAAAACTTTTTAGGCTTACCTTCAAGTAATGGTTCATCCGATCGTTATAAAAATCTAATATAAACTCATCAAAACCATAATGCTATTTATGATATAAAATCACATGCTCGATGTCAAGGCTACTACAATCAACATATGGAGAATGACCATCCTCCCTCTCATGTCTCATCTCATGATATCGTATCTACAAGAAATGAAGACTTATGAGATGATCATTTTATTCTAAGAATCTCATATGAACATATTTCCATCCGGCGACATTTAGAAAATCTCTTGTCTTATAAAGTTTTACTTTCATTATCTCAGCATGCATGACCCAAAGGGCATGATCCTCATCTTCGAACCATTCATGTACGCAACACCTGAATATCTCATTCGCATTCGCTTTTTGTTCCAACGAACTGTCACCAGCCCGTGCTATATAAGCATGCATTCTTCTACTTGTATCATCGAACATTTCTTTATTAGGTCTCATTCAAATCCTCTTCATAGATGACCAATACATTTTGAAGTTTTAAACTCTATCTTCAAAACTTTACTTGATATGTGAATGCATCTCCTTTAAATAGATGGGGATGTGCAAATCCCATCTTCACATGCAACTTATAGTTACAATATTATTAGATGGGACATTTCATCTTTACAGTTCAATTGATATGACGGCTTGCTGCAATGTAAACACCCACAATGATTCATTAGACAAACTTTGCAGGTTTCACAATGACATGATGATACAAGCTTGCAAAACTGATTTAATAATGCAAACTGATTTGATAAAATATTTATATATTAATGCGAACCTGACTGAACATTTATATTACAAAATATCTTAACTCATAACCAATATTCCAACAAAAATAACCATTTCATATTAAAAATCACATTCAAACAGATTATGTTGTCAAATCTAAATGTATTATCAAATTAGT